CCACCCACACACAGACTCCCTATTCCATGGTGGTCGCAACAACAGTCAGCCCCACACGTCGTTCCACCATTACCTTCTCTCATCGAAGCTCTTACGCCATCTGTGTGGCATCGTGATGAAATCAGGCGCTCGTCAAAATAATGAAATCAAAGAAACTGGCATGAATTTTTTTGGCCAACCAAATTTTTTTCGAATTTACTTTCTTGGTTCAACCCTTTTATGTCCATTTAAAAACATATTTCTGTGGGGATTTTACTGAAAAACGTTTATTAAAGGTCCAAGATAAGTACATTTTCATTTTTCAAGGACTCGCAATCTATAGAAGTTACTAGACTTTGGCGGACATCTTCTAGGTAATTTTACCTCAAAAACCAGGTGACCCCCACCTTCTTCAATGGCAAACATCTCAATTTCCATTCCATCACAAGCAAAACAAACGAGCAAGCTTTATAATGGTACCAATAATTCCATATATCCCCAAATTGACGAGCGCCTGATTCCCCTACGTCGTGACACATTTATAGGCATCGGTCGGTGTACATAAATCACATGCAGCTCCTGTCCTTTACATAATACGTACTGGAGCTGGGCGAAGAATCAATTCCGGAACCGATTCCCACTATTACTGCTACGCAGATGAAAAGGTCCGACTCCTTTTTACGTAAGCCAACGGTTATCAGTTACTTTATCAGTAAGGTCTTCTTTTTTTTTGGAAAGAATTTATTGTTGAAAACTAAAAGTTGATGTTTCGTAGTGTTCCGAAATCAAGGTTACCCTAAATCCTGAAGATGTTCAGAGCCAACCAGGAGGTAACCACCAGAAGAAATCACTTCGTTAGAAAGAAAGTAATTCGCTTCGGAGTCGATTCCTATGATTCCTAGATTTCAATAATCGGGAACCTAGCCGCCCAGCACTAACTAGAGCTGGGCAATGAGTCGCTTTAGCAAAATTCGGATACTATCTTAGTGCACCTCTTCGGCAAATAATATGATATGAACCGCTTCGGCAAATGGGTTAGAACCACTTCGACAAACGGGTAGCATAATTTCAACAAATGGGTGCACCCACTTCGGCAAACGGGTCAGGAAAAAAGAGAGTTAAGAGTCTGAATTCGGATAATGTTTCATTGAGAATTATCCGGTTATCCTATAGATTTTCCGGATTTTGTCCACCTCTAGCACTAACACGTACCTCTCCCTGACTCGGGCACATGGGGTCCGCCTACGTCTCTCACACATCACTGGAATTGGAACAACTTTCCGATCACGATGCACACCATCTGCCGCTTGTTAGGTTTTTTTTCTGTACCTCACCACCTCCCACAAAGGAATGATTACCTTGTAAAATTATGTCCAGGCACGCCCCCTCCCCGCCCACCTTTTGTCACATGATATACAACATTAATGAATAATTTCTTTTCTATTTTATGACTTAGGAGTCACCAAGAGCTCTTGGTTCCTTTTTACTCCCTTTCAGAGACATTTTGCATTATTTTCAGTGTCTCTTTCTTTTCTCCATCTCACTCATAGTCATCCTATTTTTCTTTTATTCATATCATTCCACCCAACAACTTCACTCAGTATTGGGTTCCGATCATGACAGATGCAGACGATCACAAGGTTTGCTACATACCATAAAATATTTTGTAGGAACTTACTTTTATTGCACTGGACCCCCTTCCCACCTTCCTACCCCGACCCCGAAGATACTACTAAAATCACAACCAAAACACCACCCGCCCTCTCCCCTCCCCCTGAAAAAAGAGAAAATTAGAAAAAAAAAGAAAAAAAACCCACAAAAGGACAACAAAGAAGCAAAAATCCAACAGTAAAACACCAAACAAACAAAAAAACCAACAATAAAACAACAAACAAATTATCCTTATTGAGAGTAACTCCCACCGTGTTAAAATCAGTATAGGCTTGCTCTATACGGAGTGCGACATAATAATGTCTTTGTTTTGGTGAGTGTTTTACGGCGCTAGCAACTGCATATGGTCATATGAACGCGCAGGACACATTAAACATGATCTTTCAGTTTGGTAGCTATGTATTCTAAATTTTGCTCGGGTGGAGGCCGAAGCCTACTCTTATTGATTTTTGTATCACGAAGGGATCTTTAAGGTGCGCAACTTGCACACGCTACCTCCGATAATTTTCGCCCTTATCCGAGAAGGCAAAATTTTAATTCTTACCTACCCTAAGGTCAGAGGTATGACTAAACGACAGCAGTAAGGAGTCAAGGAGTAGCAGTAGGGCAAAAGTCTGGAACGTAGAATAACCACCTGCGAGATGATATGTCTAAGGAGAGGCGTCGACAAAACCAGACGGGGCATGGTCAGAAGCAACATGATCAGAGGAATGATGGGAACAACACATGTCCTCTACTATATCCGAAGGAAAACAATCGGGTGGTTTCGACATCTTACACGTATGGCACCTAACCAGCTTGCCAGTAAAGCCTACTACAGGAAAGTATCAGGGTACTAAGCAAGAGGAAGACCAAAAAAGACCTGGATCCAGGGTGTGAAGGATACCCTGAGAACATTAAATATCCCTCCCAGCCAGGCCGTCAGACTTGCTAGAGACAGGGAGATCTTTCTTCCCTCGACGCCCTAGAGGTACAAGAGGACGGATAAAGTAATGTTTTTGATCTTGTTACAGCAAGGAGCCCACTTGTTGCCACTCTGATGCTGGTGTTTGCTTCTCAAATGTTGTAAATTGCTTCATTTACAAATACAAACAGTTAAAATTATTTGGTTGTAAAGAAGGGGATGGCTGAGGGGAAAGGGGAGCAGGGGAGAATGTAAATGGCCCCCCTGAGTAAACTGTCAACATTTAACCGCTCGGGATCAGAATACAGAGGATGTGCAGCTATTACGACACGAGCACTTGAGAGCAAAAGGCTAAAAGTAATGTTTTAATGGGGGAACGTGAATAAAGACAACCAAGAGTGGAGAGAACAGGTAAGCGCATGGGCAGCAGCTGAGAGACAGAGGCCTATTGGGGTCGTAGTTCTACAACAGTTTTGAGAGGTAAAGATAGCGACAGTTAGCAAAATCGCATGATGAATATCTTTCCCGGAGGTAGTTGACCCGGTATTCATTATAACAAAACAGCAACAACAAAAAAGGCATTGCCTATGTTACGCCAAAACAGCACAAAAATGTTTGACCTTAATATTACCAAAACAGCGCAAGAAGATGTGAACTTAGTTATATCAAAACAGCACAAGAGGACATGACCTACATTATGCCAGAGGAGCATAAGAAGGCGTGGCCTTAACTATACCCAAACAGCACATTTGAACGTAGCATGGCGATTTCACCTTGGACACGCACTTTACAGAAATATTTCCAAACTTGGATAGAGTCAGAGTTACCAGAAACCCCTCAAATGAAATTGGAAGCTGACTCAAGTCATTTCATTTTTTTTTAAATTTTTTTTTTTTTTGGGGGGGGGGGGTCATTACCACTTCTGGATCAATCTCAAAGAGTTAAAAGCTTTCGTATCAGTATAAATCCTGATATACAAGAAGATCCATGCTGCTATGCGCACGCCGACTATGTTCCCCACACTTACATTTTCATCTGATGCTTTATTTCCTCAAAATTTGTGGGGAGAGAAACCAATCATACCATATCCCAACTACAAATGCAACTGAATATTTCCAGAGTCACTTGAATGTAAACTTAAACACCAAGCATTTTAACATCTTCATATTTACAAATGTCATCCAGAGAGAACAAGCTTTCACGGCAAATAAGACGGGCATATAGAGAAGACCAGTGAGCATGATCAGCTCTGGGAGCCACATGTAGATCTTCCCCCAACAGAGAACACAGCTCCCATATGTATATGTTTACTCTCCTAACGTAGCAGGTTGCAGATTTTGCCAGTCCACGGAAGTTTGACGGTTGAAAAAGTGGAAGAATCTGAATTTTTCCATTTCTTCCAGGAATATTCCTCCCTGCCCTAAGTTCGCCCCGAGGGCAAAGTGCCCCGTCCGTCTTTTACATGACGTCACTAAAGTCTTGCGAGGCGTCAAACTTCAGCCTCAAATCCCTTTTCCAACATTCGAAAGTGTTTCTTCCATTTCTAGAAGAAACAACCTTGTTGCACTTTTACTTTTCTTCGCCTCCGTCATTTGTGTGCCAAATCTTGCAAGTGACGTCACGGACCAGCGTTCTAAAGTCAATGCTTTTCTTCTGTTTGTTGAGTAACACCCTTCTTTGACACAAGGGGGCGAGAAGACACGTTGGTCAAACAATCACCCCCACATGATCGCAACATTACCCACAAGCTGCCATTGCCCTCTCATCTTTTTCTGGCCCTCTTCAGACCTATTTGCCGTTGGCTTCGGGGGATTGCAGTGTACCTTTCTAATTTTAACCCATCAGACTGTTAGGGATGTATTCCTTACTGTTTGTTTCTTTAGCCCTCTTCGTGTTTTCACACTGCTTCTACGCGATCCTAAATTTGTCAAAGGCTGGGTTCTTATGAGCTTCTCGGGTTGCCTTCCGTCGACACCTCAAGAGGGTGTAGCCTTTATGGTAATTAGAAAGGTGAAAATATCAAGGAGATTCTACGACGCCAGTTCATTAGATGTGTGGATTAAGACACAGATTTGAACAAGGCGTTGCAGGGAGACGACGACGATTGTTTTTGTAACGGGAAGGAAAGTATGGTTAAGGTGGAGGGTGGATGAGAGAGAGGGGGGG